CCCCAAAACCCCAAAACCCCAAAACCCCAAAACCCCACTAGACAAAACTACGATTGAATGGGGATTAATTCTTCATAGGCACACTGACCTTAATGTTTCTTGCCTTGAACCCTTGCTTATACATCCCCTTTATCTTGTACTGGTCTTTAGGATGCTGTTTAAAGGCATCATGAGTAGTTGAACCAGGGATCTGCCCCATTACAGGAGACCCAATGTTGAAGTTAGTCTTTCCTATACATTCAGGATGAATTCTTACTGAATTTTTGGACCTTTTCTCTATTCGAATCTCCCTTTGCAAACCCAGAAATGAAATTAGCATGAGAGATCCTAGGCAAATTTGACAAGGAGGAGTTCATAGTATGATAATTATCCTTCAAAGAGGTCTTTCTCCCAAGAGAGAAGTTACTAGCTTCTTTAACCGCCCTTGTTGTGGTCGGAATATAAAATTTCTTGCTCTTTTCATTATCAAAATCTTGCTTAAGCTTAGCAGTAAATTTAATCTTTCCAGTCTGGAATGGATGGGAGAGAGGGACAGAAGAATCTAGCTTATTTTTCACAACAGATTTGGCTCTTTCTTTTGTTTCTATAAAAATATATTAGCATTCCTTTTAGAGTTGTAAGTGCACAACTTGTACTACACCCAGCAGAACGAAGATATCCATACCATGATCTTTGTAATTTGCATTGACAGTTGAGTTGAAGTCAGGCTTATATTTGCCAAAATTAAAGTGATGGTTACTCATCATCTTCTTAATCTTATAATCATTCTTCGAGGAATCTTCACCTAGCGTTGGCATTGAGCTACTTCTCATAAGCTCCTTATTAGTGGTATTAAAGTGAGATTCACCATTCCCAATGGAGAAATGCTCTTTTTCGAGATCTTTCTTCAACTCTTTGACTTTCATTCTAAAATTTATTTCATAAAGTTACCTAGCATCATTATTTCTCGTAATGAATTTTTGCTGTGGCTAAATAACTTAAAGCAGGTCTGACTGAGATATTCTTACTTTTATTTGGCTAAAACCATCATGCTGGCGGTTATGGAAGGTCCAATGAGTCTGAATGCCTCTTTTGAAATTTTTCTTCAAATCAACTACTGTTGTAGCCTTAGCATTCTCATAATAGATCTTGTCAAACCCTTCAAAATCCTGTGTGACTGACTTAGGGTTATAAACTATAAGAATGCTAGAATGACTTCAAATGTTCACAGAAAACCAGCGGAGAAATCTATTAGGATTTACCTGATTCTTTGCCAATTGGATTACTCGCATACATAAAATGGGTAGATTTGCAGTCTTTGGCATGCTTCAGTCTGTTCTGCATAGAGTCTTGATAAATCTCTAGAGTTTGTTGATGCATTTTATTCTTCTATAAAAATAATTTTAAAAGGGGTTTTGGGGTTTTGGGGTTTTGGGGTTTTGGGG